ACCTTCCCTGCGTCTCGTTTTCCCCTCCCTGCGTCCCGTTTTACCCTTCCTACGTCCCGTTTTACCCTTCCTCGCCCTCCATACGTCCCGTTTTGCCCTCCCGACGTTCCGTTTTACACTCCCGACGTCCCGTTTTACTCTCCCGACGTCCCGTTTTACCCTCTGGTACCTATACGACCACCCTTCGGGTGACAAGGAGGTTCGGGGGGGGAGGAACCAACGTCTCACCCGATCGGTACACCATCATCATCATCACCTCATCACCATCATCACCAACATCAGCATCACCATCGTCATCATCATCGGGATACCATCATCGTCACCATCATCATCATCAACATCATCAACATCGGGACACCATCATCATCAGCACCGGAACACCACCATCATCATCATCATCCCATCATCATCATGAACAACATCATCAGTACCATCAGCATCGGGACACCATTATCATCAGCAACATCATCATCAATATCATCATCGGGACACCATCATCATCGTCACCATCATCATCATCAACATCATCATCATCGGGACACCATCATCACCATCAACAACAACATCAGCATCATCATCATCATCGGGCCACCATCATCAAAATCACCATCATCACCTCATCATCATCATCCTCATCATCACCATCATCATGGGGACATCATCATCGTCATCATCATCATCATCATCATCATCGGGACACCATTACCATCATCATCACCAACATAATCATCATCAACCTCATCATCACCATCATCATCATGACACAATCATCATCATCTTCATCATCAGCATCATCATCATCATCATCATCATTTCATCATCTCACCATCATCAACATCATCAGGATCATCAAGACCATCAACATCATCGGGACACCATCATCATCATCATCGTCATCATCAGCAACATCAACATCATCAACACCATCATCATCATCATGATCATCATCTGGACACCATCATCATCACCACCATGGCCATCATCATCACCATCATCATCAACATCGTCTACATCATCACCATCATCATCAGCATCATCATCATCATCGGGACACCATCATCATCACCACCATCACCATCATCATCATCATCATCATCGTCAACATCATCAACATCATCATCATCATCATCATCATCATCAGCAGCATCATCATCATCATCATCGGGACACCGACGGGACACCGGCGGGACACCGGCGGGACACCGCGCGGCACCGGCCCCCGGAAAAGAAACATTTGGTCCGGACGCGCCTCAGCCGGAGGCGGGACACCGGCGGGACACCGCGCGGCACCGGCCCCCGGAGAGGAATCATTTGGTCCGGCCGCGCCTTAGCCAGAGGAGACATTCTTCTCGCCCGCCAACGCAGCTTCGCCTCGCCCGCACGGCACGCACGAACACGAAACCAAAACCGACTTCCCGGTAGGGGGGCTCTCCGTTCCACTTCGATCTCACCCCCTCACCTCCGATGTGTGGTAAAGCGGTGCGTAGGGAGGGCAAAACGGCATGTAGGAAAGGTGAAAACCGGAATGTCATGAGGGCAGGAGGGTAAAGCGGGACGTAAGGAGGGTAAAACAAAACGTAGGGAAGGTAAAACGGAACGCTGGGAGGGCAAAACGGAACGTAGGGTGGGTAAAACGGAACGGAGGGAAGGCAAAACAGGACGCACGGAGGGTAAAACGCGGAAGGAGGTAACGCGGGACGGAGGGAGGGTGAAAACGGAACGAGAGGGAGGCTAACACGAGGGAACGACGGTAAAACGAAACGCCAGACCGGGAAAAACGAACGGGGAAAGGAGAAGACGAAACATAGCGAGACGAAACGAAACGGAGGGAGGGTAACCCGACAGGGAACGAAGGCAAAACGAAAGAGAGGGAAGGTAAAACGAAAAGGGAACGGCAACACGGAAGAACAGAACAACAGACAGAACAAACACACGCTGAACGCACTTTCAATAACAGCACGCCGGAAATGATTGCCCCGAGTCGCAACAAAACAAACCACAATACCAGCCGCAGTGAAAGATCCAAACACAGCAAAAACGAAACACGACGCGTCGCAGGCGCCGAAACATAACATACAACACAACGCATCGCTCCGACCTCCGATGGGCGTCTTTCTCCAGATTCGTTTAAACAAAAAAAAGCACGTTTAGAGCAAAAACAAAACAGCAGAACAAAATACTCAAAACACACAACAGAACAACGTTTAGGTCGCGCCCTGGTGTTACCTGTACCTTCACGGGAGGGTGACGGTGTATAAAATCGTTGGCTCTTAAAGGTGCTTTATACACCGCCTCCCTTCCCAGGACGCCTAGGAACAGTCCACTGGAGGGTGGCTGTGTATATGCTGTTGTGACGAAGTTAGCCAGGATGCCTAAACATGGTCAAAAACTGCATAATCAAATCAGCTGCGTTCAAAAGCGGCATAAGCAAAACGGCAAAAACATTCACAGAAAAACAAGCTGCATACGCATGCATGTTCGGAGCTCCGCGCGCCAGGAAGGGGGGGCCAGCGCCGATCCAAGAAAATCGCGCGGACATCCGATAGTTCATGTTGGATGCTGCTTAGGGTGCCCCAAACAGTGCTTGCACTTACGGGTTCTATTCTAAGGATGTGTTTTTGTTGTGCTTTTGTTCAACGCATCTTTTGCAGAGGGGTGAAAGGGAAAAGGAAGGGGACGCGGGCAGCCGATGATAAACGTTCCTCATGTCTCTTCTCAGTGCCTGCCGACCTCCTGGCATGAGCGTGCACTCTGCGGTAAGAGGCAAATCGCGAATGCGGAATGCGCCACGCCGACAAAACCTAGCTGGGCTGCATAACTCTACGACCACACGGTCGCGCATCGACAGGAGAACGAACGGTTTTACCACGCCAATAGAAAGGGAACTCGCGCGTGCGTACCCCTTTACTTGCTCAGACCTCAGACCCCGGGACCCGCACAGGTGCCCAACGCGAGTGAGAAAGGGCAGAGGGGGAGGCGAGGAGCAACTACAAGCTAGCAGAACGCCAGAAAGTCTCAATGCCGAAGCACAGGAACCAGTGCCAAGGGCGGCCAGCGTGCAAATACAGCAGACTGAAGCAACACGCGCAAGACGAGAACCTGAGAGCAAACTACAGGAAAACACGAGTACGATCTCATGCCCACCACCCTCGGGCACGCAACCATGTAGGCCCAGGGCCGACAGGAAACGCAAAGCCAGAAGGGGCCCAGCGACCAGCGAGCTCCAGTGTCGAAGCTCGGCGGAAGACGGGCGCCGCTGTCCCTGCAGCTGCCGACATGCGTGCGGGGCGGACCAGCGCAGCGGGAGGTCAGCCGCGCCCCTGCAGAAAAAAGCAAAACTTGCAGAGCTGGAGCCAGGAAGGAGGAGGAGGAGAAGGAGGAGGAGGAGGAGGAGGAGGACAGTGGCGGCGTCCGACGGACTCTTGCGCCTTCAGGCGCTCAGGCACTCAGGAGGAGGAGAGGACAGAATGCCCCCGGGCACCAGCCAGGTCGGGGCGAGCTGGCCAGCGGGCGCACCGGTGCTAGCGCACGTTGGCACCCCGGGCACGCGAGAAAAACCCGCGGCGCGGGACCCGTCATGGAAGCGGTGCTAACAAATCTGCACATTGCCCGCCCGCCCGCCAAGAAGACCGCCAGGTGGACGACACGGGAGAGCAACGGCAACAGGGGGCAGAGGGGGGAACGACACCCGGGACTTCCCTGATCTGGGGGAGAAGAGGAAGTCGGCCGTCTGCGGGCCTGGCGGCCCCGTTTCTGTCGGTCGCCGCCCCATGTTTCCTGATAAAACAACAGTCTGCAGACGCAGCGGCCCCGTTACCGTACGTCACCGAACCGCATGGCTTACACCGCATCGCTTGCACCACACAGCTTGCAACACATAGCTTGTTCAACATGGCTTACACAATGTAGTTTGCACCACACAGCTTGCACCGCATAACGTACACTTATCCTGACCCGCGTAGCTTACACCACAAAACTTACACCACATGGCTGAGACGACATAGCTTACCTTACACCACATAGCTTTCACAACCAGTGACACAGCTTTTGACCTGGGGGCCACGCTGGCTAACATTCCTCTATGTTAGCACCGACGTGCGCTTGTCCACCGAAGCCCCTCAACATGACGCAGGCGGTGTAATTTGAAGGCCGGCTCTGGCTGCGTGCTATCGGTGGAGCCTAACATAACACACGCTGGGCTGACACGTCGTGAGGATGACCGAACGAGAGCGAACCCGGGCAGGAGTGACCTTTTGGTGTGTGGCCTGCCGACCACTGCACGCGGTGTGTGGCCTGCCAGATCTGCCGACCTTTTGGTGTGTGGCCTGCCGACCTTTTGGTGTGTGGCCTACCAGATCTGCGACGATCTGATTTGTTCAATCTGGGCGTTTTTCCTCGATCCCGGGCTCCGGGGCCAGCTATCGGGCCCCGGAGCCATCATACAAGAATCCGGGACGAGAAACCACCCCCAGGGAAACGGTCAGGACCTCTGGGGCCTCCCATTGGAAAAATCAGATCGGTGAGTGTCAGGAATCGTGCTCGGGATTTGCTCCTCGGCGCCCTCTGAAGACCGTGCGCCAGAAGCTTCGGAGAAGGAGCAGCTGCATAAACATAAGCTTCTGGGGCTCCGCGCGGATTTCTCGAACTGGCGCCAGACCCACCTCCCTGGCGCTGGGCGCGTGGAGCGCGCCAGGGGCTGCGCCAGAAGCGCCGCCCGAGGGCACCAGAGCCGATCCAAGAAATCCGCGCGCCCCCGAAGACCGCGCACCAGAGGCCACTCCGGCGGAGGGGTCTCGGTGTTAGATGGGGTCCGAGCAGATGGGGCCGGAGGATCGCACCGCATCGCCGGTGCACAGGCGCCATCGGCGCTGCATCGGCGCCATCGGCATGGAGAGAATCGAGCTCCGCATCGAGCCACATCGGCGATGCATCGGCGATGCGGCGCGATCCTCCGGCCCCACGCAGCGCCTGAAGGCCGCCCTTCCCGCGCGCAGCCGGGCCTCGGCGAGGTCCAGCTCCGCCTGCCGGCGCTCCGCGCACACCGCGGCGGCCTTACTCTCCAGCCTGCGCGTGCTGTCTCCGTGTGCCGCGGTGAGCTGCTCCGTCTCCCGCTTCGCGCGCTCGAACTCCTCAGAACAGAATCAAACCCTATCCTGCTATCGCTCTGACGTCCACCCCCCATGCGGTTCTCGGTTTCGTGACTTTTATTCCCACCTGACAGGTGGGAGTCGTTAAATTTTAAGAACAGAGTTCCTGGCCCGACCACCCTGCATACCGCGGCTGCCAAATCGCCAGGTCCACCGAGAATCACCCGATACGTCTTCCTCGCGCCGACCCGGAAGTTCTGCATACCGCGGCCGCCAGATCCCCAGGTCCACCGAGAATCCCCCGAAACGCCCGCCTCACGTTGACCCAGCCATTCTTCTGCATAGCGCGGCCGCCAGATCCCCAGGTCCACCGAGAATCCCCCAAGACGCCCGCCCCGCGCCGACGACGAACACGACAGAGCCTGACATAACTGGGCATAGCATCGCATGACAGAACAGAACATAACATGACAGAACAGAGCAGACTCTCCGCGTGTAACATAACGCAGCCTGACATAACAGAGCTCACTATAACAATACTACAACAAAGCAACACATGCTACGACATAACGGAACACACACACACATCACAAGATAACATAGCATACCATAGCAACAAAAAACACTACAACGCACGCAATGAGATTCCGGATCATACATACTGTAAGAACACACCGCACATCACAACATACCATAACATCGCATACCATAATATGGCATGCCATCACACTCTCAACATGACATATCATTACATACCATACCACGGCAGCGCATGCTTTGTCAGAGCGCTGCGTCACATTGTTTGTATAGGTGAGCATAGCATTGCATCGCAACGCTACGCAACACATCATATCATAACATGTCGGAGCACAACATTACACAACACAACAACACATCGCACGTTCTGTCATAACCAATCATAAAAACCATACCATCATACGGCCCGTCCTAAGATATGGTAGCTGCACATACGATAGCATAGCAGGCTAACACATAACATAACACACACGAGCATAGCAGAACTGATCATAAATAATACACAAAGACATACCATAGCAAATATACCAAATAAACACAGAACATGACACCCCACTACATGCCAACACACATACTGACGGCGCGCGGCACCACATGTTTTAATGATACCAGAGAAAAACCCAATCAGGGCTATAGGGCTATTGAGCTGTAGGGCTATAGAGCTATAGGGCTATAGAGTTGTAGGGCTATAGGGCTATTGGGCTATAGGGCCCCCCCAGGCCCCCCCGGGCACCCCTAGGCACCCCCGGGCACGCCCGGGCACCCGGGCACCAGGGCACCCGGGCACCAGGGCACCCGGGCACCAGGGCACCCCCAGGCACGCCCGGGCACCCGCGGGCACCCGGGCACCCGGGCACCCCTAGGCACCCGGGCGCCCGGGCGTGCCGCGAAAATCGGCGACGAGCCTAACCTAACCATATGAATCCGCTATAGGACCCCTACAGGGGCAAGCTCTGATTGGGGAATATAGCAACTCGTACCACAGAACCGCCTAGCAGAACATGCCATGACGGAACGGAAAATAACAGAACGCAGCATCGACCACACTTCAAAACACCAGCGCAACGATTGCAACGAACGCACTGCAACATAATAGATATCATTATAATGCAGACGAGCACCTGACAGAACAATCCATAACGTATAACTTACTGAATAGAGCACGACGCAGGGTATACAGCATCGCGCACATAGCACAAGGTAGCATAACATGACAGAACATGTCATGCCATAGCACGGCGCCACAAAGCAGAGCAGAGCATAATATGTCAAGGCACATTGTGGCACAATTGTATGTAACATGTCAAACTTTCACACAAGAGAAACATGTGTGAATAGGGACATCACCACATAATATATTGTATTACAATATAATCAAACGCGACGTGCGCACCGAGGTCAGGCTGGCCACGGGAGCAAACAAGCGCAACAACGACCGACCGGACGTATCCATCGTGACAGGCATCAGGGCGTCAGGCCGGCCCTTCGAGAACAGAACAGACAGAAGACAGCACAACATGATAGAACAGTATGGGGCCATCATAATATAAACAATAGAACACGCCGTAGCCAGCATAACATAGCAACATGTTCGATCGCTTCTTCTAGTCAGTGACTTGCTTGGGGCTTCACAGGACATCTGCCGAGGCACTGCCATTTACTGAAGGCCTCGGCGAATCATTCGAAAACTCAGCGCTTTCAACCAGACTACAAATTTCCTCCGAGGCTCTGGGCTGGCCTTGGGCAAGTGAAATTGCTTGATATAAAACGGCGACAGGCGGACCGCTCATCATTCCCGCGCATCACTTCCATGATCGTTTGTTCTAGTCAGTGACTTGCTTGGGGCTTCACAGGACATCTGCCGAGGCACTGCTATTTACTGCAGGCCTCGGCGAATCATTCGAAAACTTCAAACTTCAAACCAGACATCCCGCCACCAAGCATTGCACTGAAACTCGCTCATTTATAAAGTTGCCAGGCTCTTGTTATTTCCTTAAGGGAACTACTTCGGTGCAGAGAGGAGACAAGGAAGGAGCAAAGGCAGCAAAGGAGAGCAGGATAGGCGTTCTCCAGCTTAGTGAGGAATTGCCCACCAGCTTTGCTTGTTAATTCAACGTGAGGCTTACTTGTGAACATACAGAGACCCCGAGGCCCTCGACAGAGCAGATTGTTTAAACCAGGGTCGGGTCGGCAACACCAAAATCGCAAACGAGTGCGGCCCCTCAAAGGCCGGCCACAGGCACAATAATCTTCAATTCTCTCCTCGAGCAGGCCAGACCTCCAGAGCGAAACCCGATCAGGCCGAAGCCACAGAAAGCTCAGCCAAAGGTTTCATCCCCCTCCAGGAATATTGCGCTGGATGCACAGGCGCTGCAGCTCACCCGCAATAGCACCAAAACGATTAGAGACAGTCGAGAGCTCTAGGTCATTGCCGCACGCACCCGGGAGCCCGAGGGGATACGTCGGAGATCGAATTGCCTTCGGCATTCGGCTATGTGGCGGCGCTCTGCGCGCGCGGGAATATCCTTCGCACGGCGTGCCAAACCACGCTGCCTTCACTACTCCTGAAACGATCCAGCCTCGAAGTACGTGCCACACCTCAGGGATGAGTAGATCGAAATATTCACCACTTTTGTGTCCCATTCTATCACAGCTTCTCCTCTCACGCGCAGGTGCCGGCTGAGCTCGCCAGAACCCGAGAAGACTTCGACAATCACTCTGGACTGCCGGCCGCGCGTTGACTTCAGCGCAGCCCGAAGTACCTCTCGAAGGCGAGCTCGATACCAGCCGACCTTTGCCGGAGCAGCGCCAAGCGCGCTGGCCCCAACTTCTGCAGCCGGAGGCCCAGGCGGCCGTGCTTCTCGTAGCGCGTGGCGCTCTGGAACGCGCGCCACCCGCCGCGCTGCTGCACGGCGGCCAAGGACCTGGCGCCCATGCTCCGGTCGTGGCTGGCGCCGCCATGGCGGAGCGAGTAGAGGGTGCCCTGCAGCACCGAGGCACCAACTCCTTTCAAGACCGTCTTGAAGGCTGCGGCGAAGTCCGCGCACACGAGGCCGAGGAGCGAACTGCCCGTGCCACGGCGGCGCACCGCCACCTCCACACAGCGGGCTAGCCAGCACTGCCTCCCAAAGTCCAGCGGCACGCTGATGTCGAACGCGTTCGTCTTGGACGGCACCAGCGCCTCCTGCGCCCGGATGAGGTCAGCCAGCGGGCGGCCCCCGCCTCGCCCGGGATGGGCCGCGCGACGTGGTCGGTCAGGAGCGCCAGCAGCTCGGAGGGGCGCATGTAGGTTTCGAACATTATCATGATCCCAAGCGCTGCCATGCCCATGTTGAGGTCGAGCAGCTCTCGGGCCGCAGCGGCCACCACCAGCCAGGGCAGCGGAGGGCGCGAGAACTCGGGTCGTCGCTGGTTCCAGCCCCTCAGCGCCTGCTGCAGGGCCGGGAAGGTGGTCCGCAAGGATCCCAGAGCGAGGCGGGGATCTCCCCAGAGCAGGGCGGGGCCGACTCGCTTCGCCGTCGTAGCAGCCCCGCCTTTGTCGAAGAGCCACTCCACGAATTCCACCAGGGTGCAGTCCCAATCCTCGCGCGTCCAGTCCGGGAGGCAGCCCAGGCGGAGCCAGGCGAGCAAGGCCTTCAGCACGCCTAGTTAAACCGTCTGGGTCTTCAGCCTCACCTTCTCTGCGGCCAGCCGGGGCAGGCGAGGGCAGACTAGCTGCCGCTCTCCCTCGACCCGGCGCCGCGCCTCCACGTCGCCGCGCTGCTCGGTCAGCCCAAGCCTGCGCCGCGAAGCCGGCGGCCGCCGACCAGAGCCCGAGCGCCCCAAGGTGGGCACCCTCGCTGCGCTGTCCGAGCCTCGGGTCGCTCGGCGCGCCGAGCGGGATCGAGTGCCTCTCCCTTCGGCTGGGCGTGAGCCTGAACTCCAGGCGCGTTTCTTTATGTTCGGCGATGACGGGCGTCATGGGGGGGGGGGGCGGGAGGGGGTATGACGTGATGCCTCCCCCCGCCGAGTGGCTCCGGCACCACAGCCGCGCCCGCGCGCACGACGCGACGAGCGACGAGCGACGAGCGACGACGACGACGCGAGCAGCATGTAAGTGGCGATCTGCCCATTGCGCCTGTGTACACCACAACGCTCGCGTGCACCACGCCGCGCGTGTGCACCACAGCGCCTGCGTACACCGCAACAGCCGTGTGCAATGCACCGCCCGCGTATACCACAATACTTGGGAGCACTACTAGGTGTACATACACCGCAGCAGCCATGTGCAACACAACGCCTGTGTACACCACAGTGCTTGCGTGCACCGCGGCGCCTGTGCACGCTACAGCGCCTGTCTACACCACAGCATCCGCGTGCAACGCAGCGCTGGTGCACATCACAGCGCCTGCGTGCACAAGACAGGTAGAAGGAACATGTACGTCAGGATCTGCTGCGGACAACTAAACGCCACGCCAGGACAGTTCTGATAATCGAATACGACATGTTTCCTTCCTCCCTCCTCCTCCACCTCCACCTCCACCTCCTCCTCCTCCTCCTCCTCCTCCTCCACCTTTTCCTCCTTCTTACACCCTGTCGTGCGGTTTGGCGTTGCAACGCACGTGCGCATCTCAGCGTGCACCGCAGAATGGTCGATTGAATCGGTCCACTTGGTTCTCGGACGGCCAGTTTAGCTGGAGCTTCCTGGACGCAAATGGGAGTTAGGGTGATGCGGGCGGACTCGGGGGGACTCGTAGATTCCAGCGGCGCTCCTTTGTCCATGAGGATTTGTTTTCCATTGTTTTCTCTGGAGTCCACACGCGCTCCATTTTGTCACAAGGATCCCTTCTGAAATTCCATACACAACAATGGTGCTGTGTTGCACACGGTTGATGTGGTGCACACAGGCGCCGTGGCGTACACAGGCACTGCAATGCACGCAGGCATTGTGGTGTACACTGGTGTTGTGTTGCGCACGGCTGATGTGGGGTACGGAAGCGCTGTGGTGTACGCAGGAGCTGCTGTGCCCGCAGGCACGGTGGCACAAACTGACGCTGTGTTGCACGCGGCTGCTGTGGTGTACATCGGCGGTGTGGTGTACACAGGCGCTGCGGTGCACGCGGGCACTGTGATGTACACAGGCGTTGTGGTGCATATCGCCACCTACATGTTCGTGCCACCCGTCCTCCGTCAGTCCTAAGCATTCCCAGACGCCGCCGGCGCGAAACGTGACGTCATCGACCCCCTCCCGCCCCACGACGACGGCGGCGACGACGACGACGACGACGACGACGACGACGACGACGACTGCTGCGGACCAGACACCTATGCGGATTCCTACGCGGACACCTACGCCGATCCCAATGCGCACGGCGGCAGTGCCCGGAGCGCACTGGGGGGGGGAGCGTTACGTCACAGGCGGGGGGGAAGCGGGGACCATGGCGCCCGTCATGGCCCAAGCAGTAAAGAAACGGGCTACGGCGGAATCGGTGACCGAGCCGTCAGCGCCCTCCTCTGCATGCTGCCCGCGCCCACGCTCGTGCTGCTTGAGCCCAGGCGGCTGATGCCGACGAGAGGCCTGATCGCTGGGGTTCCACTCCGAGGGTAGCCACCGACAGTGCACCCGGATGTCGGCCGCGACGCTGACCGCGAAGACGACTCGGCAGGCAAGCAACAGACGATGATCCGAAGCTCTTCCTTTTGCCAGCGCAAGGGTGACCGACGCGTTCTCCAAGCACGAGGTGGCGCTGGCCATGCCGCCGGGCATGCTTAGCCATGCGCCTCGCGGCCCAGCAGACAGAGGCGGCCTCGAGGCAGTGGATTGCCTCGCACTGCCTCCAGCGCCCGCAGCCCACCACGCGCCAGGTAGCCTCGGTCAGGGCCCTCGCGCTGACCTCAGGGAACTCCGACACGCGGCCGGTCAGGATCAGGGCGGCGCCTGGAGCCTGCGCCACCTCAGCCTCCAGGGTGCGACCCCGGGGGGCGCCAGCAACAGCAAATGGCCCACGGAAGCGAGCGCGCTCAGAGAGTCGACCGTGACTGGCGACAGCAGTAGGCCCCCATTCCGTCTCGACGACGCCATAGCCCCAAGGTGAGGCGTCGTAGGCGGTGACCGTCGAGGACCAGGCCTTACCCATCTCGCCGACGATGCAAGGCGGCAGTGAGCGTACCCAGGAGAGCTCGCGTCGAGCGCTGGGCCACAGCGGCTGGCGCTTCAGGCCAGAGGTCTCCGCGAAGGTGTAGCAGGCGAAAAATGGCTAGCGACTCTCGCCTCAGCATGCGCGCGGCCACGATGTGCCCCAGGACGCGCTCAAACTCGTGCCCTGTGACCTTCCTGCCCTTGGCCTCAAGCAGGTAGTCGAGGGCACCCATGAGCCGCCAAAAACGCTTAGGCTTGACGCGCCATCGGCCAGTGGTCCGGTCCAGATCGCAGCCCAGCAGCTCGGCCTTGCTGCCGTCGCAAGCCTCGATGGTGCTGGCGACTCCGAGCTCGGCCAACGCCTCACGCATAACCTGGGCGGCCCCCTCGGCGCGCACCTGGTCAACGGAGGCGACGGCGAAGTTGTCGATGTAGAGCACCTTCGCGTCGCCATGCCGAAGGTCAACGCCGGGCCGCTTGTCAAGAACCCAGCGGCCGCTCTGGAGCGCTCTCTCCATGACGTGTAGGTGGCCCTGCTGTGTCAGGTGGGCCGCCCAGCTCCGGCCCATCGGCGCGACGCGGAACCTGAACTTGAGCTCTGAGGTGTCGCGAGCCAGCCCCGGCCGACCACGCAGCGCAGCAGGCAAGTACTGAGCCTTAATAATCGTGGGCAAGGCGAAGTGCCGCCTCGCCCACTCAGGCAGCACATACGGGTAAGAGCACACCTCGACGCTCCCAGAGCAAAACCCTATCATGTCGGGCCCGTCGCACTCGATAGCGGCGAGGGCCTCTGGGCTAGCAAGCTCCGCGTAGGCAGGCTCGACGAAGTGAAGGTTAGCAGCGCGAGTATCAGCGATCAAGCGAAGCTCGTGGTCTTTGCGCCGCACGAAAAGTAAACCAATCTCCTCCGAAGCGTTCCCAGGGTCTACCTCCACCGCGCCCGCGTCGAACAGCCCCGACAGAGCGCGGCCAAAATCGCAGCCCCTCCGCGCCAGCTTTGGGTCGAGATAGCGCAAGTTGCCATTGCGCCATTCGAACAAAGATTGAACTTCAGCAGGCTCGCGCAGCAAGCCGTGGCCAGCCTCCGGCATCTTGAGCAGCGGCCTCGGCATGATCGAGCCCAAGTCGACCCGGCCAGCACCTCCACAGGGTAACGAGATCATCCCCGGCTGGTAGACCGCCCTGCCACCTTCCGACTCGGACTCAGCGTAGCCCGGTCGAAGCCCCTGCAACGCCATCCACGAAACATAAGTATCATGGTGCGAATCTGGGAAGCTCACCGAACCATGCAGGCCAGCAAGGCGGCGCACAGCGACGCGTTGGGCCTCTGTGAGCGCCGCGTCAGTAGCGACTTGTCGCCCCTGACCTCCCAGCGCGCTCAAACTACGAAGAGCATCTCGCAACCGGCGATTCTGTCGATCACGCTTTGCACTTCGGCGCTGGGCTGCAGGTGACAGCCCGGGCGGGCCCGGGCCATGCAGTGCTGAATCCAGCACAACACCCAGTGGGGTCGGAAGCAGGTCGCGAGACGAGTCGGCAATGTCCATGACGCAAAACTGCAGCACCGGGTAGTCCACGGGCGCCTCCCCTGAGAATTGTGGCGCGCTGGCCGGGGGACTCGAAGCCGTCACCACCGAGAGAGATGTAGAGCGCGGGCTAGCCCGTGCCCTCGGCGCCCTTGGGAACCGTCTTCGGCTTCTTGGGCTTCTTTTTGGGCTTCGGCTGACCAGAGGGGCTGGCGCCTCCCTGCGCGTTCGTGCAGGCGTACACTGCTGGGGCGGCGACCCTGGCAGGGCCCACGCCAGCGGCCAGGGGCTTCTCCTCCCGGCACTCCCTCCTCTCCTTCAGGATCACGGCTTCCTTAACCTCCTCCCACAGCTGGTACCTCCAGCGCACCATCTCGAAGAACACGGGGCTGGGCGGGCACGCCGGGTCGATCTGGAAGCCGACCTCTAGCATCTCGCTGAGAAAGGCACGTTCGTTAGCCTCCATATCCTCAACAGACAAGCCGAGGATCTGGCGCCACCAGTGGCACCTCTGCATCGGGGTGAAGTTCAGCTTAACGAACTGCATGAGCAACCACGAGCAAGTACGAGGACCGACGATAGGCCAGCCCTCGACGCTCACGAGCTGCATCGCGTTCACCGCGCCCGGGAACGGTCTGCTCTGATCTCCGAGGCTGTCGACCTCCAACGCCAGTGTCCTGATGTCGTCGTGGTCGCGTGGCGTGAGCCGCGACGCGGTGCCAGTCAGCGCCGCCGCCAACGAGCTCCCGTCAGACAGCTCAGGCACGCCTCGATCGCCGAAGACAACCTTGGCCCTCACCCTCGACATGCGGTCGTCGATCTCATAGCCGTCTCGGGCCCCGGTCGCCTCCCAGCTCCGAAGGGCAGCCCCCGAGCCGCCCGCGCCGAGAGCCGGCGGACCAGCAGGAGCGGGAAGTGGTGGAAGTCCGTCCGGCTCCGGCAGGATCGCCGGCGGCAGCGTCACCCAAAAGCAGGGGGCCGCCGTCGCCAGGGGCAGGAAGGCCCTCCTCGGCACGAATCTGCTCAGCACTCTCGCGGGCGGCCCGAAGAAGCTCAAGCCGTCGACGTTCGAACTCGTCCATGTCGCTGCGCCGCAGCCTCCCGTAGACCGTGCCGATGCCGTCGCGCGGCCCGACTGACCTCAAGCACAAGGCCTCCTCAAGGTCCCCGTCGTGCAGGTCGGGGTGGTGGGTCGCTATGATACACCGCGTGCCCCCAAGGGGCTCCCATAGCACACGCTTGGGCCAGTAGTACTCGGCCACTTCGTCGAAGGCGAGCACCCAGACCAGCCGAGCTGGGCGCTCCACGATGCTCCATCTGTGCGACATCTTCGGCGGCATCTGGCCTGCAGAGAACAGCAAGGGAAACGAGATCCCGCGCCAGCAGGCCCAACAAAAAAGCGGGCACCACCCGCACCCCGACAAACACCCAGCCGTAGACGGCCCAGCCCCCCTTCACGAAGGGCTGCTGGCGGACGAGGTTCTCTTTCAGCACCCCTCGAGCTGGCGCTGCGGCGCCGAAATCAAGCCCGAGTCGACGTTAGCGCCCTCGAACTTGCACACGCAGGTCGACTCGCCGACGCTGCTCTCGCGCCCGAACCAGGTGCCCAGCTCCTGTCAGATCGCAGCCGAGCACCAATGAGGAGCCTGGCCCCTACTTGGCCAGCGAAGCCCAGGCGAGCGCGGCCATCCACCTCCTCAGGTGGAAAATTGCTTGAGATAAAACGGCGACAGGCGGAACGCTCATCATTCCCGTGCATCACTTCCAGTTGTACTACTGCTACCCCTACGTCAACGACCTAGACATAACATGATTGGATATAACGGCATGGAAGAGGTATGTCATAGCAGAGCATGGCATAATGTACTCGAAAAACTGAGCATACCCTATACCGCAACACAGATAGTAGCATCGCATAACGTAACCTGACAGAACATACGTCTTATGCTATAACGCAATGCCACAGAGCAGATGATATCATATCGTACTAATCCAGACAGTGACAGCGGTGAACACAACAAAACAAGCTTCAACACAAGAGAAACAAGAACTTGACGAGGAAACTCAGATGAATGAAAAACGTGCCATGACACAGTCAAACGCGACGTGCGCGCGGAGGTCAGGCTGGCCACAGGTAGAAACAGGTGCAGCAACGACCGATCGGACGAAGTATCTAACGTGTCAGGCGTCACGGCTTCACGCACGTCCCGTCGACAGCATGACATATCATATTTTAGCATAGCATCATAAAACCTTCTCGAGCAGAACATACGAGGAGGAGGAGGAGGAGGAGCAGCAAGTTTGGGGGCCTTGCGAGACGCGATTTTGGGGCTGGTTTGTCGCTCCACGGACTTGTTTCGGTTTTGTTTCGTCAAGGGCCCTGGGGTTGTTAGACTTTCGGGAAACATCAACTTGCGACCTGGCCTGGCCGCCGCGCTGGCCGAGACCGCCGGGCCCCGCGCGCATCGTTCCAGCAGGCGCGCGCACCGTTGGGAACAAACGCCGAAGGTTTCGGTGGGGATCGCTCGAAGCAACATCATTTCCGCAAGACGGGCGAAGATGCTGCTCGATGGTTCTCGCCGAGAAACAACTGCACACGCCCGAACGATGCCAAACTCTAAGAATGAAACTTTCGGAGCTCCGCGCGGATTTCTTGGATCGGCGCTGAGCCCTCCTCCTGGGCGCGCCCTGCGATGCCGGAGGCGCCGCCAGGGGGCCTGGGCGCCGATCCAAGAAACCCGTGCTGAGCTCGGAAAGCTTATGTTTGTCGTGGGCGATCATCCTGCAACGCTGACCGCGGGGGCGGGCGCCCCCGACCCAGCCCGCATGGATGGGCGAAAGAGGGTGCGCCGCGCGGCGCGCAGCGGCGCGGGGCGACGCGTGCCCAAACGATTGGCGCGAGGCGTCGCACAGGCTGCCCTGCTTGCACGGGCGAGCGCGCGAGGGGGCGTGTGCGCCGCCCAGGGTTGAGAGGGGCGCCACGCACGCTCGGCTGGGTGGGTATCCCGCTCGGCGAGGACACCGGCGGTGCGGTTCTTGCGCGCAGACCGCTCCCTCGGGGCCTCTCGGCTTGGGGGTGTTCGCACTGGGCGCTCGGCGGGGCCAGCGGCGCAGGCACGTGCCCGAGCCACGGTCGGCTCGGGGTACTCCTGCGCGCGGCCAGGGTCGAGCGCCGCACCCATCGTCGCGGTGCGACTCTCCGAAGGAGATGCCGTTCCTCTCCGGACCTCTCCCAAGGCGCATTCCGACCAGAACCTCGAGAAGAATCCAGCCGCGGTGACAAGGACTCTCCAGGACGAGCAGCGGCATCGGTAATTGCCCTCTTTTCCTCTGGGATCCGACTTCGCGGAAACATGCAGCATCGCGCACAATCACGACCAGAGCCCTAGACCCGATCTCTTTCTGCTGCACTCTTCGAGCGGGAGTCACCTGTGATGGCTCTGGGTCCCGACGCTGGTCGACAGCGCCCCCAGCGCGAAAAAACTGCAGCGCACTACCTTTCCCTCCCCTGACGAGTGCCTTGTTTTCTTCCTCGGCTCCTGGAGCTGCTCCGCGGAGAAGCTCACCGCTTTCTGCCCGGCGCGCTCGGCCAGCGCGCGCTCCTCGGCCTCCAGCCTCGCGCTCTCCTCCCGCAGCGCCTGCGCCTGCGACGCCAGCCGCCCCTTGTCCTTGACTTCCTTGTCGGCGCACTGCTGCAGGTCCTCGACTGGTGCGGTCAAAACTGATAGGAGGTATGCGCGTCAAGGATGCAAGCCCCTCGGACGCCCATGTCGAAGCTTTTCGAGCGTGGCTGGCCATCCAAAACGGCTGAGGATGCACGGAAGAGGCAAGGATGCAAGGGGGAAAACATACTGTTTCTTCCGCGCCGACTTCTTCCGGACGACTTCTTCCGAACGACTTCTTCTGGACCGCTTCTTCCGGACGACTTCTTCCGGACGACTTCTTCCGACGACGACTTCTTCTTCCGCGACGACTTCTTCCAAACGACTTCTTCCGAACCACTTCTTCTGGACGACTTCTTCCGGACGACTTCTTCCGGACGATTTCCGAGCGACTTCGTCCGAAAATTTCTCCCCGCCCTGTCGTGCATCCTGCACCTTTCACTCTTCCTACTCCTTGGTCTGTGCCTCCATCTCCCTCGATCTGCTCCCAGACGGTCTCCTTCTAAAACGGTCTCTTCCTGGCACGGTTTCTTCCGCGACGACTTCTTCAGGACAACTTCTTCCGGACGACTCCTTCCGAACGACTTCTTCCGGACGACTTCATCCGGACCGGTTTTTCCGAACGACTTTTTCCGGACGACTTCTTCCGAGACGATCTCTTCCGGACGACGTCTTCCGAGGAGATCTTCCCGGCGAATTCTTCCGAAGGCGTCTTCTTTCGAGGCGTCTTCTTCCGATCGATTTCTCCCAGAAGAGCTCTTCCGGAATATCTCTTCCGAGTATGATTTCTTCGGAGGCGACTTTCTCTGGGCGAGTCTTGCCGGAAGAGTTCTTCACGGCGACTTATTCCATGACGGGGCGCTGATTATCATTTAACCCTATCGATTAGCTACTTCTTCTTGGGTTTTGGGGGAAATTCGAGGGTTACCTTCGAATTTCTTATGGGGCGCCTTCTCTTCCAGGCGCTTCTGGACGACTTTTCCCGAGGGTGAGTTCTGCCGAAATGCGACTTCTGCCGGCCCCCTCCTCGCTCCTCGCTCCTCCCCCTCCTCCTCCTCCACCTCCCCGCTCTTTCTCCCAGGCATCCTCTTGCCCTCTCGTCCCTCCTCACTCCTCACTCCTCCTCCTCCTGCCTCTTGCCTCCTCTGCCTTTTCCTCCCTCCTCCGTCCTGCCGCCTCCCTCCTCCCTCCTGCGTCTCGCCTCCTCCTCCTGTTCCCTTCGCCCTTCTCCCTCCTGCTTCCTCCCTAGTCCCCCCCTCCCTCTTCGTTCCTTTCTCCTCTTCCCTCCTCCCTCGTCCCTCTATTCGGCATGCGGCAACGCCTGCGGGCCAGAAGCTGAAACTATTCCACTGTACTCGCCACGTGGCAGACGCCTGGGGGGGCGAACAGACGTGCTACCCCACTCTCCTCGCGACGTGTCAACGCTCTTGCGGGAGTGCCAGAAATACGATTCCGCGCGAATTGCCAGGTGGAAGCGACGGGGGAGCGAAACACAAACTGCTCCACTCCACGACTTGCCACATGGCAACCCCTGCGAGGCGGAACGCAGATTTGTTCGCTCTACTCGTCACGCGGCAACACGGGGGGGGAGAAACAAATGCTGCTCCACATTCCCTGCCACGAGGCAGCGCCTGCGGAGCGAAACAAAAGTACTCCACTCGACTCGGCACGTGGCAACGAAGCGGGCCGGCAGCAAATGCTACTCCTCTGTGCTCGCCGCGTGGCAACGCCACGTGGCAAGGCCTGAGAGGTACACAGAGATACTATCCCACTCAACTCGCCACGTGGCAACGGCATGGGGAACGAACAAGAAGTAAACATACAACTGATCACGTGGCAATGCCGCGCGGATTGAACATTGACAACCCCACTGCAGTCGCCACATGACAGCATCTGGGGGGTGGGGTGGGGGCGGACATGAGGATTACATGAGATTCGCTACGTGGCAACGCCCCAGGGCGGGAACACATAGAGCGCCGGCCCGTTGGCTTTGGGGCAACGACAGGCCGGCGAACAAAATACAGTACAACTTTGCGCGCAACGTTGCCAAACCGCACAAATCTGTTGTACACGACGTGGCCGCGCCGCAAAGACGAACACCAAATTCTGCTCGGCACGTGGCTCCAACGCAGACGCAAACGACGATGAAGACGACGACGGCTACGACCGGAACGACGACGACGGACGATGATGATGACGCCGGGCGACGATGCCGACGAACACGACGACGACGACGGAAACGACGACGACTGCAATGGCAACGACAACAACAACGACAATGACAGCGACGACATCGACGACGACGACGATGACGATGATGATGATGATGATGATGATGATGATGATGATGATGATGATGATGAGGATGATGATGACAACCACGTCGCCGCTGCGGCCGCCGCCACCGCCGCCCGCCAGCCTGACCGCCCGCCCGCCCACGCGCGCGCGCGCCCGCTCGCGCACGCTACGTGGCTACACCGGGGGAGCGAAACAAATACTGCTCCACTCTCCGTTCCACGTGGCAACGCTCGACGGGCGGAAATTAGTACTCCACTGTACTTGCCACGTGTCAGCGCCTGAGCACGTGGCAACGAAGCGGTCCGGGAACTCACGCTACTCAGCTCTACTCGCTACATGGCAACGTCACGTGGCCAGACCTGACCAAACACAAATACTATCCCACTCCACTCGCCACGTGGCGATAACACGGGGAGCGAACAAGAAAAACACCTTCGCTCTACCCATCACGCGGCAATACCGCGGCGCAATCTTCCGGGCGACGTTTTTCCACAGGAGTTCTTCTGGGGCGACTCCATCTGGGCGACATGGGGAGCGAATGAAAAGTATAAATAATAACATGGCAATGCAGCGCGGACCGAAACAATTATACAATCCCACTCTCCTCGCCGCGTGGCAGCGTGTGAGGGGGGGGGGGGGGAGGCGAAAAAAAAAATCCATTATATTCGCAACGTGGCAACGCCGCGGGGCGGGAACGCATAGAGCGCCACTCCGTTCGCAATGGGGCAACGACAGGCTGGCGAACAAAATACAATACAGCTTTGCGCGCAACGTTGCCGAACCGCACAATTCTGTTGCATTCGACGTGGCAACGCCGCGGAGGAGAACACCACAATCTACTCGTCAAGTGGCTCCAACGCGGACGAAGACGACGACGATGACGACGACAACGACGAGAACGACGATGACGACGACGCACGACGATAACGACGACGGGCGACGATGACGACGACGACGATGACAACGAGAATGACGACATCGACGACGACGACGATGCCGATGATGATGGTAAACATGATGATAATAATGATGCTGCTGATCGTGATGATGACAATGCCGTTGATGATGATGATGTTGATGATGATGATGATGATGATGGTGATGATGATGATAGTGGTGACGATGATGGTGATGGTGATGATGGTGATGATGATGCTGCTGTTGATGATGATAATGATGATTACAACGACAACGCCACCGCTGCTGCGGCCGCCGCCGCCCGCCAGCCAACCAGCCCGCCCGCCCGCGCGCACGCGCCCGCTCGCGCACGCTACGTGGCTACGCCGGGAGAGCGAAACAGATACTGCTCCACTCTCCTCTTCACGTGGCAACGCTCGGAGGAGGGAGCGGGGGAACAAATAGTACTCCACTGTACTCGCCACGTGGCAGCGCCTGAGCACGTGGAAACGAAGCGGGCCAGGAACTCATGCTACTCGACTTTATTCGCCACTTGGCAACGCCACGTGGTAAGGCCGGATGGGCGAACAAAAATCGGAGGTGAGGGGGTGAGATCGAAGTGTAACGGAGAGCCCCCCTACCGGGATATCGGTTTCGGTTTCGTGTTCGTGCGTGCCGTGCGTGCGGGCGAGGCGAAGCTGCGTGGGAAGGCGCGAAGAAAGCCTCCTCCGGCTGAGGCGCGGCCGGACCAAATGTTTCCTTTCTGGGAGCCGGTGCCGCGCGGTATCCCGCCGGTGTCCCGCCTCCGGCTGAGGCTCGGCCGGACCAAATGTTTCCTTTCTGGGGGCCGGTGCCGCGCGGTGTCCCGCGGGTGTCCCGCCGGTGTCCCGTCGGTGTCCCGATGATGAAGATGATGATGATGATGATGATGATGATGGTGATGATGATTGTAATGGTGATGGTGGTGATGATGATGATGATGCTGCTGTTGATGATGATGATGATGTTGACGATGTTGTTGATGATGATGATGGTGATGGTGATGGCCCTGGTGATGATGATGATGATGGTGTCCCAATGATGATGAAGATGATGATGATGATGTTGATGATGATGACGTTACTGGTGAAAATGACGGTGTCCCGTTGATGATGATGGTCCTGATGATGTTGGGATGATGAGATGATGAGATGATGCAGAACATGATGAAGATGATGATGATGATGATGATGAGGATGATGATGGTGTCCCGATGATGATGGTGATGATGAGGGTGATGATGATGTTGTTGATGATGATGACGGTGATGATGATGATGATGATGATGATGGTGTCCCGATGATGATGATGATGTTGATGATGCTGATAACGATGATGATGTCCCGATGATGATGTTGATGATGGGGATGATGACGAGGTGATGATGATGATTTTGATGATGGTGGCCCGATGATGATGATGTTGATGATGATGATGGTGTCCCGATGATGATGATGGTGATGATGATGGTGACGATGATGATGGTGTCCCGATGATGGTGACGATGTTGACGTTGTTGCTGATGATGATTGTGTCCCGATGGTGATGATGCTCATGTTGCTCATGATGATGATGAGATGACGATGATGGTTGTGTTCCTATGCTGGTGATGATGATGGTGTCCCGATGATGATGATGTTGATGATGGTGACGATGATAGTCCCGATGATGATGATGGTGATGATGATGTTGATAATGTTGGTGTTGATGTGATGATGATGATGACGATGATGGTGTCCCGATGATGATGATGATGATGATGATGATGATGATGACGTTGATGTTGATGATGATGATGATGATGATGACGTTGATTGTGAGATCGATTGTGGTATCGATAGTGCGATCGATAGTGAGACCGAATGTGAGATCGATTGTGAGATCGATCGTGAGATCGATAGTGAGATCGATTGTGGGATCGATCGTCAGATCGATTGCGAGATTGATCGAATGAAATAGGTCGAGTGAGATCGATTGTGAGATCGATCGAGTGAGATCGATTGAGCGAGAAGGATAGTGAGATCGATAGTGAGATCGATAGTGGGACCGATCGAGTAAGACGTTGGTTCCACCCCTCCCCGAACCTCCTTATCACCCGAAGGGTGGTCGTATAGGTACTATCCCACTCCACTCGCCAAGTGGCAATGACATAGTTCGTCCTCCACGTCTCTTCCTCGTTCCTCCCCGTCCTCCTCGTCCTCCTTCCGATCCTCACACCTCCCCTTCCCCCCTCCTTGCTCTTCCTCCCAGGTTTTCTATCCTCCTCTCCTTCCTCCTCCCTCCTCCCTCCTCTTGCTGCATCTTGCCTCCTCTCTCTGTTTCTCTGTCCTGCCTCCTCCCTCCTCCCTCCCTCCTCTCGCCTCCTCCTCCTCCTCCTGCTCCCTCCGCCCTCCTCCGTCCTGCCTCCTCCCTACCCCCCCCCATCCATCCTCGTTCCTCTGTCCTGTTCCCTCCTCCCTCGGCCCTCTATTCGGTTCCGTAGCCATTTTGGCTCAAGCCCCGAGCCGTAGTCGCAGCCATATTGCCCCAGTTCGGCAAGTTGCGACCTCACAGCTTGAGCCCATGCGCGTCGCCCCCGCCGGCGCATCCTGGCCGGCGCAGGCGACCGCGCGCATCGAGACGACTCCGGCCGGCGCTGCAGCCGACCGAGACTGACGCTTCGCGCCGCTGCGCGGAGGCTCGGCTATGCGGCCCGCGCCGGCCGCAGCCCAGACATGCGGGACCTGGCCACGCTGGCGCGGGCCGCCGGTCTCGCATCGAGAATGCGAGCTCATGATGGAGAACCTCCTGCTGCTGCCGGCCTGCCGCCGCCGCTGGTCGGCTTGACGTCGGAGCCCAAGCTGCTCAAGGATATCGTTGTGGTCCACACTGCTGCAGACGCTGTTCCCCACGCTCTTCCAGGTGGTTTACCGCCGCGTGATGTTGAAGCGGCCGGGCCCCAGCTGCACGCCAGCTACCTGGGCGCCGCGGGGTACCCAGCCCCCGGAAGGCCACCAGTGCTGCCGACCGCTGTACTTACTTCGACACGAAGCTCCTCCAGCTGCCCCGCTGCGGCTCCCAGGCGCACTGGCCGCCGCGCCTGACGCAGGAGCTTTGGCGTGGTTGGAGGTGCCCCTGCCCGAGGCCAAGTGGAGCCGTGGCTGGCCCCCCTATGCTGCTGGCGTGACCCTGCCCGGGAGCCATCGGCATGTTGCCGACGCCGCGGCCGGAGGAAGTGCTGGTGCTGGTGTCCCTCGGCCTGCTGCCCCTCCCCCCCAGTGTCCCCTGTCGGGGCCCGGGGGAGGCGAGCTCCTCCTCCCCAGTGTCCCCTGTCGGGGCCCGGAGGAGGCGGAAGGGCGAGCCGCTGCGGAGCCGGGCATGCGGGCTCAGGCCACGGCCGCTGTCTTGACCCTCGAGGCCCGATGCACGGCGACGGCATGCCGTGCGGCGTGGCCCAGCCGTCGCGCAGCCGCTGCTTCCCGGCCCACGCCCCGTACACGGATGCGTTCGTCGCCGACCACATCGTCGAGTTCCGGGTACAGTACCGCCGATTCTGACGATTTCGCCAACCCGCGCAGCTTTTCGATTGCCGATGCTGCCGCTGCGCTTCCGGAGGCTCTGGACCGTGCTGCCTCGACTCCGGTGCCTGCGGAGGCCGCCCCGCCTCCGGCGCTGGCTGCGGCCCCGACGCGGGCACTAGCACTGGTCGCTGATGATGACGCGGTTCGCGGGCGGCGGTTTGTTTTGGACCATGCCCATAGGCTGGATGCTGCTCGGGCCGCTGCTCATGGCTCTGCGCCTCCGGAGGCTCTGGACCGAGCTGCCTCGCCACCGGCGCTGGCGGAGGCTGTGGCTGCCCCGCCACTGGCGCTGGCTGTAGCCCCGTCCCGGGAGGCGCCCGTCGGCGACGCCGACCAGGCCGCTGGTGGTGGGGTTGGGCAGAACGACGAAGCCGTGCGCTGTCCCGAGGCCCGCTGTCCCCTGGGGCAGCCTGTTGTCTCCAATGCGGCCCGCGATGACGAGAGGAACCGGAGGATCGGCGACGCTATCGCTGCTCCAGGAGGCATCGAAGCTGCCAGGGCTGCCATGGTTGCCGCATATGCGGCCACAGGCGTCCATATGAAGTAACACGTTGTGCCTCGTGCCGATTGTGATCATAGGGGATGTTCTTCCAGACGGTCCGACTGGCTCCGAGTGAGGCGACTGAGCAGTGTAGGACTCCTGCCACGTCGCACTTGTCATCTTCAGGGCGAGGTATGAGAGCAGCGGGAGGGAGCTTTGGAGGTAAAGAATCATGTATGCAGTCTGGGATCAGACGTGTTGTTTTCTCCCTTGCCTCTTGCTTTTCGCCTAGTCCCTCCCTCCATCCATCCTGCCCCCTTCCAGAGTGTCCTGGCAAGTCCCAGCAGCCGTGCCGCCGCTTTGGGTCGTTGTGGCCGGGTCACCTGGACATTGGTCCCTAGAACGAGCGAGCATCTTCTTCCCTCGTCTAGCTTGAAGTCACGTTTCTCTGCACGGCCCTTGCACTCTTGCGAGCGCTGCTCGACTCCGGATCCACCGCTTGTCCCGCAGAGGAGGGCCGGCGAACGAGTGTGGCGCAGAGAGGCGATGGAGGGTCGGCGAGCGAGAGCGGCGATCGCGTGTTTGCAGCTTCGCTCCCATGCCGCGCCTTTTTCCGAGGGCTCAGGGCCGAGGTCGTCGTCCCAGCCTTACCCCCTCCTCGTCTGCAGCCTCCCTCTCGCCCGCCCTCCTTCAGCCACTGTGTTGTAGCGGAGGGCCGGCGATCGATAGAGGCGACAGTCGAGGGCCGGCGAGCGAGCTCAGCGATATCTCTGCAGCATCGCTATCTTGCCCGGTTGTTCCCGAGCGAGGAGGCGCCAGGTCTGCGTCCCAGCCTTACCCTCTCCTCTTCGATTATCTTGATTCCTCCCCCCGCCCCACCTCCACAGTGCCCAGGCCGTCGCAGCAAGCCCCTTTATCGTTTGCCGGCCAAGCTGCTTATTGTTGTGGGTGGGGGTCAGGATGGATCGGGAAGGGAGTACAGTGCGTAGGTGCGAAAAAAAATCTTCCTCTGCCGCCGGCCGCTTTGACGCCCACGTGTCCCGGCATAGAGTTTCCGCGTGGTGTTCCCACTTGCGGTACCGCCGTGCCTCATATATGCCAAGCTGAGTCGTTGCCAGTCTCCGGCAACTTCGAGTAGGGAATGCTGTCTGCGTCCCAGCCTTCCTCCCTCCCTCTTGGCCTCGCTCTTATTGTACATACTTATTTCCCCCTCATTCCCTCCGCCCCTCAACCCGAATGCCCTGGACGGGCACAGCGATCCACTGTTGCATTTGTTCGCGCTTGCCGTCCACTTCCCCATATTGAAGGGTGGGGGATACAGCAAGCAAGATTGGGAGGTCTGGACTCCTTGCTTGGGTTCGACGCGTTCCGTCCGCTCTGTCGCGGGGGTCCCATCGTACTGTACAGTACTTGCGTTCTTGGTGCCCGTGCAGATGTCTCAGCTTTTTCTTCAGCCAGCTTGCCTGCCTGCGCTGTCAAGCCATCTGCTAGCTGCAGCGCCGCCCACTCGTGGCAGCCATCCTGGTTCATCACGATTGCAATCCAAAATCCTCTATTCGGCACGCGGCAACGCCTGCGGAGCGGAAGCTGGAACTATTCCACTGTACTCGCCACGAGGCAAACCCTGGGGGGCGAACGAATGTGCTACTCCACTCTCCTCGCGACGTAGCAACGCCTGCGGAATTGACAACATATTGTTCCGCGCGAATTGACAAGCGGAAGCGGCTGGGGAACGAAACGCAAACTGCTCCACTCCACGACTCGCCACGTGGCAACCCCTGCGAGGCGGAACACGTCCGTTTCACTCTACTCGCCACATGGCAACACAGGAAGAGCGAAACAAATACTGCTCAACTCTCCCTGCCACGTCGCAGCGCTCGGAGGGGGGAACACATGCTACTTCACTGTGCTGACCACGTGGCAACGCCTGCGGCGGGGCGAAACAGAGATCCTGCACTCTAGTCGGCACGTGGCAACGAAGCGGGTCGGCAACGAATGCTACTCCTCTCTACTCGCCACATGGCAACGCCTGGTAGGTAAACAACAATATACAATCCACTCGCCACGTGGCAACGATATGCGGAGCGAGCAAACATTCCAAATCCACTCACCTCATCACGCGGCAATGCCGCGCGGACCGAACATATTGCATTGGAGGGTGAAAAAAGGGTCTGCAACAAGGGGTCTTCAATGGGGGATGAATGGCCCATGTATGCTCAATGTATCGTTCATGTATGCGATAAGGTGCGATTGGCATCCAATGTCAGCGGCCATGGAGGGCCAGTCGTTCGTGCCCACGCGTTGCCCGCGCGGGCAAACGCGCCGTCCACCCATTATCGTTCATACGTGCGGGCGTTCTTGCATATCGCGCGCGGGGAGGCGAAGTGGAGTGCAGGTGTGTCTTGATTGTGCGATTGATGATCGCGTATGTTACCATGCGATGACTTGTCGACCCCCAAGACATATTTGAAATGGGTCCCGCGATTTTCCCAACATGTGAACTCACAACTTCCACGTCTCTAGCATGTAAGTTCACATGCTCTTCTTTCCCAAGGTGTGGATTCACACTCTGGTCCATTCATAAATATTCCGATACCAAACTCCAAACTGCGAGTTTACGTGCTATTTTTCCCAAATGTCACATGTTCGTTTTCCCCACACTGTGATACCACGTTATGATTTTCCCCGTGTTGTCCTGGCTCTGAAGATCCCCAAAACTGAGGCGCAGCGTTCTGCATGTCAGATTGGCTGGGCAAATTGTCACACTCGCCTCGCTGCTTTGGGTGAGTCCAACCTTTTCTTCTAGTCTTTCCTTTGAGAATCTGGGTAAGATGACAAAGGAATTAAGATCTCGTGTTCGCTCTGCTCAGTGGTAGAGGGCACAAGACGATACATCGATAAGACAAGTATCCGGTAAGCGAATGTACTTTATCAGGAATGGCGAGGGAGGAGGCCGGCAGGCCGACAACCGACGAAGTGCGACAGCCGAGGGCGGGCGCGCTCCTTTTATCTCCTGTACGCTCGCGCGTAGCTTGAGTACAATACACAGCTGCGGATAGCCAGACAGTGCGCAGCAAAGCAAGTGATGTGACAAGCAGCAAGAAGATGAGGCGGAGAGGAGTGCATTTACTCCCCCCGCGGCGGGCCACGTAGAGCCCATCCAGCCACAACGCCCCTGGCCTGTACATATGTACAACCACCGGAGCCAACCGCAAAAAACTTGTACAGCTCAACGGTGGCTGCCAGGGGGCTAAGGGCCGAAGAGGCCCGACGTTTCCCACCCTCTGGTGTTTGGTCAGGCTACACAAGGCGCGTGCGCCCAAGCCTACGGGCTAGAGCCAGTTAAATCCGCCTCCTCCGCTTTGCAGAGGAAATTTCTTTAACAATGTGCTCCGCACCTGTGCGCAGGCGCTCGGCAGCAGACAACTCTGCCTCCGTCGCGGTGGAGCCTACATCAAACATGTAGGCTTCTGAGCTCACGAGCGCCCACGGGCCATTCTCTGGAGCAACTTCAATCCAGTGGCCTCATGCAGCACCCTCACTACTCACACCACCATCCCAGCATCCTCTGATG